AGCGGCTCGGCACGAACACCGCGTCTGGATCGACCTTCACGACCCAGTTGGCGCTCTTGTACACGCCGGCTTCCCCAATTGCCTTCCAAGCCTGGTAATGCAAGCCCGTATTCAGCCAGGTGCCCGTCTCCTCTCTCTTCGCGAAATGGAAGTCCCCGTCGGCATCCTCCAGCTTCACGAGCGGAGCGCCGGGCCCGACCTCTCCATCCTTGTCGCTGAATACTCCCCAGTTCTCGCACCCGAATATGCTGGTCTTCCTGCCGTATGCTCCCTGCAGCAGCTCCAAGTCGTACATCTTCTTTGTGCTGCCGATGTCCTGCATGACCACTGCGAAACAATACAATGACGGGCCGTACCAGTCGGCATCCTTGAGGATCGGGTCCATGATCGGCTGCGTCTGAACGCACAGCTGGGAGGCACTGGGGGTGCAGTTCTTCAGGCACTTGCCCTTCCCCGGCTTGGTCTCGAAGCAGTTCAAGCCCGCAACGTTGCAGCAACCCAGGCTGTAGCAGTCGTCGTCCGTGCTGGCGCACTTGTCGCGCGGCGGCAGGGCTATCGTCTGCACCTTGCTCTGCAGGCGGTCCGTGTCCGAGACCGCCCCGTGCAACGCCAAGCGCGCTGCCCCCGCGCCTGCACCGGCCAGGAGCAGGGCGGCCACGCCTGCGCCGCCCGCCGCCCGCCAGGGCGAACGCCGGGCGCGAGCGTCCTGGACCAAGAACTGCTCCGACCCGCTCGCCTCGCCGGCGGCCTCTGCGAGCTCCATACGCTCCGTGGCCGAAGCCATTGGCGACAGGTTGGGATGTGGCCGGGAGTGCTCGCAGATCAGGCTGGCTGCAGAAAGCGCTTGAGCCAGAACGGCGACGGGCCGAAACCTGGGCGGGTCGGCGCTCCTTAGACCCGCTGCCCTCCATGGCGCGCGCCTCGCGCCACGGGCAGCGCCAGAGGCGCCGCCAAAGAAAGCCCAGCGCCGAGCCAACGCGTCCGAGCGGACCTCCGAGAACTCATGTGTATGCAGCTTCGTTTCTCCTCGGCCTCCCGTGCGAGGCGGGGGCTTATCCATCACTGCAGCCTTGGGGACGTGTCTTGGGGGGCCTTGTCGGATATGGATACGGTCGGGCCCCAGGAGGTGGGGGAGAGGGCAAGGCAATTTACATCAATGTCCACCGCCTGCAGAGCTGGGGAATGACTGGACAAAAGTACGATGGAAACTGGTATGGGACTTAGCGAGGGAATGAATCGGGAAATTGACACGGATTTTTACCGGGAGATCGGCCAGGAAATTAATTTGCATCCCGCCAGCTTCTAGGCGTAGGTGGTCTAACCAGTTTTCCCTTTTCACTTTCAACAACCTCCAGTCTTCCCCTTCGGGGATGGGGTTACCCTCCCCTTAGCCCCCTCCCAGGCATCTGGATGTGAGGGGGACGGAGCTGTTGGTGGGTACGTTTTCGCCCAATATGGTTCCAAGAGGGCCTCCAGTGTTCCAAGATGGCCTCTCAGTTGACTCAAGAAAGCTGAAGATGGTTCGATATAGCTTCCGACATACCTCCAAGGGGCCCGAATATGGCCACACGGTTGCCCCAAACGCCCTCGGAACCACTCAACGATCCCCCCGAGAATCCCAAATCTTTTCAACAACCGATAGAACGTCGATGATTGTTGCCTTCTCGCCGTTTCGCGCCCGATGGGCTTTTGCGGCGTCAAGATGGCCCTAAGAGAACCACAAGAGGGTCCCCAGAGGCGAGCGCCGCAAGGAGGGCCCCAGGAGACGGTTTTGATGGCTCTTGGGGGGGAGGCAAGGATCCCCCGCCTTGGCCTCCAACGTGGCCCCAAGAGGCCAAGAGGGGTCCAGGAGGGCCCCGAGACCCCAAACGAGCCTCAAGAGGCCCCCTACAGGACTCCAAGAAATGGGCTGTTGGCGGTACTTTTTAGTCAGCGGCCGCAAGCGAAAGCGCCAGCAGCGAGTCCAGTCAGAGCGGGCCGCGCAAAGACGAATTAACCTAAAGCGGTGGGCCGGAGCCTCACGCAGCACCTCGGCGGGCAGGCCGGCGAGTGGAGGGGGAGGACTGCAATTGCTGGTAAGCTGCGCTGCCAGGGTGCACGCGTACAACGCGCTGCAAGGATGGGCTGGCTGCCAGGGTGGTCGGCAGCCAGGGTCTGCAGGCTACGAGAAAGTGTATGCAGGGGCGTAGGCACCCACGGAACTGCAAGACTACCAGGGTGGCTGGAGCCAAGTGAACCAACTGCCACGAGACGAATGGTGTGCCCTATGCAGGGCGTAAGCATCAACGAGCTGCAGAGTACCAGGGTGGCCGAGGCCAGGTAGACCGACAGCCACGAACCGCATTGAATGCGAGTGAATGGAGCAACAGAAGCTGCGGCGCGGCCAAAATGGCGCGTGGGAGCACCACGATGTGGCCAGGGTGGGCAACTCAGAGGGACCCAAGAAGCAAGCCAAGGCCTGGCGGGTGCGAGCGGTGGCGCCAGCAAAGTCGCGCACCGGGGCCCCGAAAGGGGGAGCGCGATCCGCGGTCGGCACACCAGGGAGGCTGGTGGCGATACTTTTTCGGTCGCGGCCGCGAGCGAAGAGGCAGGCGGCGGGCAGGGTGTCCGGGCCAACGGGCAAGCCTAATTAGCTACAAGAGGCGCACTAGCCGGCCGGCCCACTCACAGAGCAGCCGCGAGGCAGTGGGGGGACTGACGGCGGGGGACATCCTGGGAAGCTCGAGCACATGCACTGGACAAAATGTCGAGGAATTCGATGCCTGCCATGAGGCGCTGGTGGCGATACTTTTTTGGTTCGCGGTTCCAGGGCAAATGTCAGGGAGCGGACGCAGCGTCCGGGATGCGGTACGGAGCGAATTTGCGAACCCAGCCGTCACTGTCGACAGCCGTCCGCGCCTGCAAGGCATGCTCGCAGGTACACATGCACAATACAATATGAACCAAATTCGTCGACAAACGCACATAGGCGCAGCAGCGAACCGAAGGGCACGAGCTACAAGTGCGAAGACAGCCAAGTGAGTCGCCGATGCGGCGCCAGACTCGAGCTGACAGTGCGAAAGCGAGAGCGAGCGACCAGCACACACAAGGCGAAACCATGTACAATGGTGAGGCAAAAAGGGGGACCTGTCGCAACGAACTCACTGACGGCTGGTGGCGATACGCGAAGCGTGAAGAATTTCGGTCCAGGGGTGCGCGACGAACTCAGATCCTTCCAACCCTGTTGGCCGACGCTCCTCTCATTGAGATCACCTTTGAGGGCCGCGCAGCAAGGCTTGAAGCCCTGGCTTCACAGAACGACGAAGAGCGAGATGCAGCATGTCTGACTCCAACGCGGGCGTGCCAGGAACCAAGACGTGGCATATCGCGCCTTGGGCCGCATACCAGTCAGCTACGCGTTCACCAAAGACGTGGGCGCCTCGTAGGCGCCTCATGGGCTGGCCCTGTGGGCCCTTGGGCGCCTCGTTGGCTCGCCGTGCGCTGGGCGTCCGCATAGCTTGTACGATGTAGCACTTACCACATGCCTTGTACCGCATAGCTTACACCAGGTAGCCTATACCACAGAGCTTGCACTGCACAGCTAGCATCACAAAGCTTGCACCACATAGCTTGCACCGCACAGCTCACACAGATACGACATAGCTTACACCACCCAGCTAGCACCACATAGCTTGCACCACAGAACTTACATCACCTGACTTGCGCCACCAACAAATACACCGCATACCTCACACTACGTAGTATGCACCACACGGATAACGCATCCGCAGAGCAATAACATGCTGGTTGAGATCCCCGCCGGTGAACATGATTGTTTGTCCGAAACGCGCGTGTGCCACCGGATTCGATGAGGAACCTGATCTGGTTGCTGGCAGAAACACGAGTGGACGGGGGCGAGTGGCCCCGACCTCGCATACAGTCTGCCACGGAGAGCACTCTCCCCATAGCCTGGTTCAAACAAACGATCCGCGCACGGCGGCAGTTCCCGCGCAGGCGCCGTGCGCAAAGACATCGCGCCCATTTCCTGCCGAAGCCCGACCGTGACCGGGATGCGGCAACAGGGCGCCAGCGCAGTGAACCGCGCAAGCACACAGAACGTCCTTCTCGTCTCGCTCTCTTCCGCACACGTCCTCCTCCCCTTCCTCCTCCTCCTCCTCCTGCTCCGTCCTCCTCCTCCTCCTCCTCCTCCTGCTCCGTCCTCCTCCTCCTCCCCCCTCCTCCTCTCCTGCTCCCTCCTCCTCCTGTCCCTCCTCTTCCTCCTCCTCCTTCCTCCCGCTGTCGGAATCATGGACGATGAGCTCGCGACCTGGCTGGCGGGGCTACGGCGAGGAGGCCGTGCGCCCGCGCCTCGCGCGGCGCCCGCGGGCGGGCCCGCGGGCGCCGCGCGTCCCCGTGGCGGCGCCGCCCGAGCGGGCGACGGCGGGCGGCCTGCTCCCGCTGAGCGGGGCCGACGTCGCCCCCGGAAGCCGCTCGTCGTCCTCCGCCCTCCCGCCCTGCGCGCCCCTCTGCGCTGCTCTTCCTCCCCCCTCCCCCTCCCTCTCGCTCCTTCTGGCTCTCGCCCTCTCTCTTTCTGGCTCGGGGCCTCTGCCCTCCCGCCCGCGGGGCGCGGAAGGCCATGGTAGTGCTCCGTGTCCTCCTCGGAGGCGTGCGTCCGACCCGATCACATCTGGCGCAGCCGTCTCGCAGTGCGTCGTCTCCCGAGCAGTGCGGCCAGACAGCGCCCGCCACGGAGCTTCTGCTGCAAGACTTCTCGCTGCGCGCGTCGCCCCTGGAGGGGGCCACGCGCACAGAATATGTTACGAGGTCGGTGTGCCGCCGAACCTTCTGCGTTATTCCTTTGGATAAAAAGGGGCTCCGTTCCTGATTTATCGTTCCTTCGGTCAGGCCGATGACTGTACTCAATGCCCAACACCGTAGCCGCTGTGGTGGCTGCAGCGAGGCCGCGTGGGGGAGTGCTGCCGAGACCGCGTGGGGGAGCGCGCGGGGGGGGGGCGGGGCTCCTGGGCCGAAGCCGCTCTTCATCTCCTGGGTGACGGCCACGCCGCCCTCGAGCTTGGCCCGGAGGGCCTCCCACGCGCGGGGCGGGCCCGCAGAGCGGGCGCCCCGCTGTGGGAGAAGGGGCATCGGCATCGGAAGTCAAACAGACGCGAAGCGTCACAAGAAAGCACCCCCACACTCCCACAACTGCTCGGGTCTCAATCCCTGGGGGGGCCTGTCAAGCGATCTCCGCTTCACCGCACGGCTTATATAGAGAGGTCAAGAATGTGCTCGGCTCCGAATCGCACGCGCCTGCGACAAAAGCCACACACGGCACCCGAGGAGGAGGGGAAGGGGAGGGGCGGGGATGGAGGGCGACGGGGGAGCGAGCGAGGGAGGGGAGCGGAGGGATGGAAAGGCGGGGGGGGGAAGGGGCAGCACAGCGGAGAGAGTCAGGCAAACGCGAGACCAGATCGGCGTTCTATAGACAAGGCCCGCAGGGGCGGGCAGCAGACATTCCCACGGATGGGCCGCGGAGGGCGGACCCCGTCGAGGGACGGGGACGGCCTGCCAGATAGCCGCGAGCCCTGCGACGCGCAGGGGCTCTGTGGGCGGTCTGCTAGTCCCGCCACTGCGCCGCGAGGAACGAGTTGCAGTGTCCTCAGGTCCCTGCCACCGTGCCGCCAAGGCACGAGTCGGAGTGTCCTCAGGTCCCTTGCAGTCCTCCGTCCTCTGTCCTGAGGATTGGGCATCAACGGGCCTGGGCTCCAAGGTCTCGATTTTCACAGGGGGTCCTCGACGTGCCTCCCGCGGTTGCCCCGGCGCTTCCCGCATGACTTGTTCGAACCAGAAGCGCCCCAAAGCGGGCCAACGGGGCACGGACCTCTGACCTACAACCCAGGCACGGTGGCGGAGTGGGCCGAGAGCCAAGAGATCCGCCGCCCCTGTCGATTCATCGAAGGGGTGCCTGGCGTGCCGAATTATTACGGTTTTGGTTTTGGGTTTTTTTCCAGAACTCCCCCTGGGGCTTCGGCCCGTCCCGCGGGCCACCCGGAAGGCCCGCAATTTTCCTAATGATTCGTTCAAGATGGCCCAAGATGGTCTCCAAGATGGCCACGTTGGCCCAAGATGGCCTCCAAGATGGTCCAAGATGGCCCCCAAGTCCCCTCAAGATGGCCCAAGACGGCCTCCAATGCGGCCCAAGAGAGTCCAAGACGGCCGAAGACGGCCCAAGAGGCCCCCCAGAGGCCTCCAAGACGGCCCAAGAGGCCTCCAAGAGGTCCTCCAGGAGGGCCCGAAGAGGCCAACATCAGAACTTGTCCATAGGTTTTTGAAGGAGTTTCGATGTCGCTGCTTCTCGGCTTTCCGACGACCCAAGACGGCCCACGAGGCCCCCAAGATCGCCCCCACAGCGCCCAAGATGCCTCCAAGATGGCGTCAGGAATGCCCAAGAGGCCCCCAAGACGGCCCCAAGAAGGCCCAAAGACGACCCAAGAGGCCTCCAAGACGCCCAAGATGGCCTCTAAGACGGTCCTGGAGCACCCCAATTCGGTCCCAAGTCGGCCCAGAAAGGCCCCCTCCAAACGGCTTCCGACGACGTCAGACGGGCCAGGAGCCCACCAAAATGGCCGAAGTTGGCTCGCAGCTGGCCCAAGAGGCCTCCAAGAGAGCCCCCAGGAAGGCCAGAAAAGGCAAAAAAAAACTCTGATTGTCCCTTGATTTTCGACGGAGTTTGACATTTGCTTCGTTTCGGCCTTCCGACGGCCCGAGACGGCCCAAGAGCCCCCAAAGATCGCCCAAAGATCGCCCAAGAAGCCTCCAAGATGGCACCAGAACGGCCCAAGAGGCCCCCAAGACGGCCCCAAGAGGCTCCCAAGACGGCCCAGGAGGCCTCCAAGACGCCCAAGATGGCCTCCAAGACGGCCCTGGAGCAGTCCAACAGGGTCCCAAGTTGGCTCAGAGAGGCCCCGCAACCGGCTTCCGACGGCGACGGACGGGCCAGGGGCCCACCAAGACGGCCGAAGATGGCACTAAGATGGCCCAAGACAGCCCAAGAGGCCGCCAAGAGGGCCTCCAGGAAGGCCCGAAAAGGCAAAAATCATTGATTTCCCATAGGTTGTTGAAGGATTGTGGCATTTGCTTTGTTTCGGCCTTCCGACGGCCCGAGACGGCCCAAGTGCCCCCAAAGATCGCCCAAGAGGCCCAAGACGGACCCAAGAGGCCCCCAAGACGGCCGAAGAGGCCTCGACGACGCTCAAGATGGCCTCCAAGACGGCCCAAGAGCCATCCAAGACGTCGCCCAAGAGGCCTCCAGGATGGCCCCAGAGCAGCCAGACGGGCCCAAGAGGGCCCGAAGACGGCCCAAGAGGCCTCCAAGACGCCCAAGATGGCCTCCAAGACGGCCTTGGAGCACCCCAAGAGGGCCCCAAGTCGGCCCACAAGACGGTTTCCGACGGTGTCAGACGGGCACTTGGGCACCTCAAGGGGGAGCCGACAGGGAGGAGGACACTTGCACGTTCGCGACCCGTTTGAGGTGTGGCAGGTCTTGAGCGCCCTCAGCTCCTCACGCTTGAGAGCCTCACGATCGCTCGGATATAGCAGGCAGGGCACTTGGGCACCCCTGCGGAGGAGCCGCCGAGGGGTGCCGCATTTGCCCATTGCACTCAGATTGTGGCAAAACCTCGACCGGTTCGCTGGCCTCGGCGCCCCCGGCTCATCTGTTCAGAGCCCCATCATCACCGCGCACGGACGGCCGCCATGAGGCCCTGCACGTGCCAGAACGCGCAAAAGATCGTGGGACCTCTCAGGGGAAGCGGTGGTTTAGGCACCCCCGGCTCCTCTCCCTTCAGAGTCCAAAGAGCACCTCGATGTAGCAGGCATGGCATCTGGGCGTTCCAAGGGGGAGCCGCCAGGGAGTGCTCAGTCGCCACAGGCGAAGATTCTCTCACTCCGACGCTCACGAGCGAACGTGCCAAGAGTTAAGATGCACGCATGGGGACCTCTGCGTCGAATTATTTTCCCATGCCAATGGGAGGATTCGCCCGCTGCTCAGGGCGTGCGCGGGCAGCTTTCGTTGCCGTTGGCAATACCTCCCTCGCCCTACCCCTGTGCCTCCTCCCTCTGATCCCTCCTGACTGGAAGACCTGGGAATCCAGGTGGTGAAAGCCCAGAAATCTTGTTTTACAGCTTTCTCCAGAGAGAGCCCCAAGCAAAACCAGGCAATCGAGAATTATGGACTAGAGGCGTTGAAAGTATACCGGCACCGGTAACGCTACTCGCCGGATAATCTCCTCCTGGAGTAGTGATATCGGTATGGCTTCCTCCTCTGACCCCCCCTCCCTCCTCCTCCCTCCTGCTTGGGCCTCCGCGATGGCCGCGTGGTCCGGTTCCTGCTTCTCCTTGCGGGAGGGGGCCGGAGCGCTGCCTGCTGACGGTGGAGGTACAGTCAACCAGTATAGTAAGGATGCGCGATAAGGATGCAAGGGCCTTGGACGCCCATTTCGAAGCTTTTCCAGCGGGGCGCGGCCAGCGAAAGCGGCGAAGGATGGACCGAGGCGGCAAGGATGCAAGGGTACCCTTGGGAAGGTTGCCCATCCTTACTAATGCGGGTTGACTGTAGACAATGGGGCCCCATACACCTGACAGCTGTTCTGCCATGCATGCGATGGCGCGGCAGACGAGGCCACGAGGACGCCCGCCGAGAGGGCGCCGGGATCCTCAGGGCGAGTGCACCGAGGTGATCGTCACAGAGGGTGCCCCCGGGAGATCGAGCCGGGGTGAAGGGCACGCGGCCGCCCTGGGAGCCCGAGAAAGACACGCGGAGTGGATGTGCCGGCTGAGCCTCCATGCCACGGAACTGGGGGGAGCGGCGGGGCCCCCAGAGGAGGAGGAGGAGGAGGAGGAGGAGGAGGAGGAGGAGGAGGAGGAGGAGGAGGAGGAGGAGGAGGAGGAGTGGGCGCCAGACTCAGAGCAAGACCGCCGAGCAGGCCAGGAAGGCGGGGCGCGCGATCCAGCCAGAGGGTCACCCCAGGGATCGAGCCCGGCTGCTGCGAAGGATGCGGGAGCGGGAGCCGGGAGCCGCGATGAGAGCCGCGAGGAAAAGAGGGGGCGGCACGGGCAGCAAGCAGGCCGCCAGGGTGCAGGCCGCCGTCCAGGAGGGGGGCAAGGGGACCCCATGGGGGAGGGGACCCCGGGCGCAACGCTCAGGGTCAGACCGTCGAGCGAGGCACACACTCAACACACAACACACAACACACAACACACAACACACAACACACAACACACAACACACACCACACACCACACACCACACACCACACACCACACACCACACACCACACACCACACACCACACACCACACACACACGCACACACGCACACACGCACACACATGCACACACACGCGCACACACGCACACACGCACATGCATGCACACACGCACACACACACAAAAACACACGCACGCACGCACGCACGCACGCACACACACACACACACACACACACACGCACACACACACACACACGCACACGCGCACACACACACACACACGCACAGTTGCTTGGCGTCACGGCCACGCGCGCAGCGACGCGGCGGGTGACAAAGAGTAGCCCGCTCGAGAGCCGAGGAGCCACAACCACGGCCGGGGGACGCCCGCGGCCCGGAGAGGGAGCAACACAGCACACAGACGAATGCTTTTGATGCGTCGGGGCCATGCGCGCAGCGACGCGGCAGAGCAGGCGGCCGAGGGGAGCCGATCAGTGCCGTGTGCAGCTGGTCGCGGGTGGGCACTCATGCTCAGTGTCTTGGAGCCCTCTTGGTGTAAGACCTGGGCACGTCATACAAAACAAGAATACCCGATCTTGCGAAAATCAATGAATGCGACCTCTCCAAGCCTTCTTGGAGGTCCTTTTGGGCCTTCTCTGGGCCGTCTTGAGGCCCTCTTGAGTCGTTTTGGGTCCCTAGTGGGGCGTCTTTGGAGGCCCGGGGCCGTGTTGGGTGTCCTCTCAGGCCCTCTTGGGGACCTCCTGTGGCCCTCTTGGGGCTGTCTTGGAAACCTTTTCGGGCCCTCAAGGGCCCCTCTTGGGCCGCCCTCTTGGGCTGTCTTGCGGCCGTCTTGGGGACCTCTTGTGCCGTCTTGGGGCGAGCCTCTTGGACCGTCGGGGACCCAAGGAAAACCAAAGAAGCAGATATGCTAAACATGGACGATCCCCGAGGGAATGTGACGATTTGTGCCTCTCGGGCGTCCTTTTGGAGGCCTCGTGGAGCGTCGTGAGAGCCTTTGGCGTCTTGAAGACATCCTAAGCCCTCTTTGATCGTTCTCAGGCAGTCTCGGGGCTCTCTTGGGCCTCCCTGAGGCCGTCGTGGCGGAAGCTTGGGCTTTGTCTTGGGCCGTCTTGGGGCCCTCTGAGGCGCTCTTTAGGCTGACTTGAGCCGTCTAGCGCCGAACATGACCGTAAATTATGCGATTAGATCTGGGCCCGCCAAGGCCAACCCCCTCACACTCCCCCTTGTTAGTTCTCCGACTGACGGATCGCGACGCTAATCACCCTTGCTATCATCCGCCGCTCCCTGTAGTCTTGCCGCAAGGGTGCATGACGTGCCAAATGTCTGGCAAATTGTTGGTTCTGTTCTCAAGAACTCCCCTGGGGGCTCCCGACCCAACCCGCGGGCCATCCAGAGAGATGCACAAAGCCGCCGAAAAAACCCAACTCAATTGGCTCAATCGTTTCCAACACGGCCAAGATAGCCCAAGATGGACACCAAGATGCTTCCAAGACGGGCCAGATTGCCTCAAGAGAGCCCAAGATGGCCACAAGACGGCCTCCGAGATGGTCCCAAGATGCCTCCAAGACCGCCAATCTAGTCCAAGGGAACCCAAGACGGCCCAACAAGCGCCCAAGAGGCCCCTAAGACGGCCCCAGAGGCTTCCAAGAGGTCCCCCAGAAGGCCCGAAGAGGACAACATCATTGATTGCCTCGAATGTTTGACAAACTTTGGCATTTGCTTCATAACTGCCTTCCGACGGCCCAAGACTGCCCAAAAGGCCCCAAAACGGCTTCCGACGGCGACAGACGGGACAGGGACGCCGTAAGACGGCCAAAGAGGCCCCGAAGAAGGCCCCCAAAGGCCCCCCGAGAGTCCCAAGGAGGCCCCCAAGAGGCCTCCGAGAGGCCCCAAGAAGCTCCCAGGAGGCCAACAGTCTCCATAGAGGTCTCCTCATCCTTTTTCCTCCCTCTCATCCTCCTCGTCTTATCCAACGGCTGGGGGAACGCATGGTCCAATGCGTGGCCGAACGTTGCCGACATGTTTGACCACATACGCGTATCCTAAAGGCAAGGGGCGGCAATGATTCGCCATGGGCTTCTTCGAACAAATTGTCCGCTATTGGTTGTGCCAAAAGTTGCGCACTCTGCGGCCAAGGATTCAAGTTGTTCGGCGCAGATTGCCTCTGCGACATAACTTACGCACTCGGGGGCCTGAAATAAAACGGCCTCCCAATATGTGCACCACAATGTGCGCACGCGGCGGCTGCTTATAGTAAAATGTTGTATATGTTAGGCCATACATTGCGACCTGGACGGCCGTCAACAACACTGGCTGCTATGAGTGGCGCCACACAGTCTCTGGCATCGAACTGCTTTGCGCACTCGGCGGCCGATGGCAAACCGACCTGCTACTGACTGCGACATGACTTGCGTACTGGGTGGCCGATATGCAAAACCACCTGCTGTGCGTCATTCGGTAAGGAATGATGAGCTGGCCTGTTTTAATTGTGCCATACATTGCGCACTCAACAACAGAGGATAACACTATCCGCTATGGCAGGGCCGAAGACTGCAAAATTACTCGGCGGCCGATAGCACAACGGCCTGCCATCGGCTGTTGCGCTATAAGCTACACGCCCAGCGGCCGAAATCAAAACGTCCAGCTACTCTTAGGGCCGTATGCTGCGCATTTGTCGGCCGACAACAGGACGGCCTGCTAACTCGTGCAGTCAGTCAGTCAGCCAGCCAATTCAGTGCACATCGCGAATACAAATTCGAGCCACGTCGGGACACAACACACACACACGCTTTTGGATTCGCGACCGATTGGTACAATGTAGCGAGGGCAATAGCGGGACGCGCCAAAATTACCACACCACGTGTGCGAATCAGAGGTCAACTGGGGAGCAGCAGACGGGTAAAGGTCGAAAGGTGCCGAAGGCCGTGCACGTGGAAGATGCAGGCGCGTGGACAGGACACAGAGCCAGCGAAAACCCAGGGCAGAGAGCGCCGAACGAAGACACACACCCTCTCACTCTCTTACCCTCTCACACTCTCTCTCTCTCACACGCATACGCTTCTGGGCGGTCGCGGCCTCGCGCGCGGCGACGAGGCGAAGCAAGTCATGCACGACAGCCGGTACACACACATACACTCTCACACACATACGCACAAACACACGTTTGCTCAACACCCTCGGCAACTCGCCAACGGCGGTTCACCAACGAAACAACAATCCCACACACACAGCCACACACACACACCGACACACCGACACACACACATGGTTTGGCGTCGTGGCCACGCGCGTGGCGTCAAAACATACATAAATCTAACATAAGCGCGCGCGGCTTCATAACGCGCGCGTCAGAACATCGTCGTGGCCAACGCGCGCGGCGTCATACCATAAAACGCGCAGTACCCCTCCTCCCGCACACACGCACACAAACACAGACATAGACACCCACACAGACACACACACAAACACACACGCGCGCGCACAATCTCTCATTCTCCTCTACACCCACGTTCCCCCTTTTCCGCTTCCTTGTCAAGTCCTCACCTTCCCAAGAGGGAAGGGCGGCATGATGAGACATTGGACCCTCGCTCTGCCCCATCCTCCCACTTAGCCTCCTCCTGCTCCTTCCCGCCTGTCTTCGTCTGCAGACTACTCCTCCTCCTCCTCCGGTTGTTCGATCCTCAATAACGCGTATCACCCTTACTCCTCATCGCGATCAAACACATGTCGCCCTTCTCTTCCAACCATTTCCCATCCCTATTCCGCCTCCTCCTCCTCCTCCTCCTCCTCCTCCTCCTAAGCCTCCTCAAGGTCCCTGGTCCCTCATCTCTCCCCCATCCGTCTTCCACCTCTTTCGCCTCCCATCCCTCGGCAAGCGGAGCGGGAGGCAAACCGCTGGGGACGCGGAGGGGGAGGGGAGAAGGCGGGAGGGATGCGGGGGAGGAGGGAGGGACGATGGAGAAGGGGGAAAAAGGGGGGGAGAAGACGGGGAAGCGGGAGGGCCAGGGAGGTAATGTGGAGCAAGAGAAGGAGGATGAGGACGTAGTGTGGGGGGGAAGAGGAAGGGGATTCATGTGGGTGGTGGGCCGGAAGAGAGAGAAGGTTGGGATGGGAAGATGAACAAAAAAAACGCTCAGCGGCGCAGCCCTTCTCGCAGCTACCCTGCGATCCTTGAGGATGGTCGCTGCCCACCTGTCCTTCGCCTCCTCGGTGGCATTTATCCGCCGCGCGCGTGCTCTCGCGCAGGGCGCCCGCGTTACCGCGCGGGAGGGAGGAGCTGAACCGGAGGCGGGGGAGGAGGAGTGAAGAGGGGGCGAAAGGGAGGGAGGGGGCGGGAGGTGGCAATCAGGAGGACAAGGATAGGAGGAGGAGAAGGAAAGGAGGAGGAGGAGGAGGAGGAGAAGGAGAAGGAGGAGTCGGAGTCGGAGGGGGAGAAGGAGGAGGAAGGGGCGTGCAATGTTGGTGGCCACAGGCGCGCAAGGTCCGTGCCCGCGGCGAGCCCCGCACCGCTGGCTGCCGACGAGCGCGCCCGCCGTGAAGACTGCCGAGGGCGGGTGCGGCGACGATGAGGCACCCAGAGCGCAGCTGAGGGACTCCGCCGCGGGGTGGGAACTCACAAGGTATAGACCGCCTGGGGGAGCGGCGTCCTCGAACCCCAGGAGGAGGCGGATGCGGATGCGGTAGGCTCGTGCCGCGACGACATCGGGCGGCGGCTTCTGACACCACGTCGATGGTTCAACCTGGATCCGATCGGCTCTTTGCGAAGCAGCAGATCGTTCAAGATCGGCCGGCTCTCGGCCACTGTCGGCATTGAGCGTTACACGAACGCGGCCCGCGGCCGGGTCGCCGCCGCATCGACCCGACACGAAGCTACAGTACGTCCTGGCCCCGGGCCCCCTACGCTCCGCCTCGGATCCACTGGGCACCCTCGCTGCCACAGAGCACGCCTGATTAAGCTCCGCCGCCTGGCGGCGCAAAGGCAGCCGTCGCAACCGCGGCCGCCGCGAAGCCTCGGAACGTGGTACCCGCGTTCAGCTCAGCTGGGGGGGAAGCAACGGCGGGGAGAGGGCCACCAGTGCGCGCAAACTCGGCCCCCTCGGCCCTTGGAGCGCGTTTCGGTGTGTTCGGCGATGACGGGCGTCATAGAGGGGGGGGGGGGCGGGTATGACGTAACGCCCCCCCCCCCCCGCCGTGTGGCTCCGGCACCACAGCCGCGCCTGCGCGCACGACGCGACGAGCGACAAGCGACGACGACGACGCGAGCAGCATGTAGATGGCGATCTGCCCCAATGTGCTTGTGTACGCCACAGCGCTCGCATGCACCACATCGCGCGTGTACACCACAGCTCCTGCGTACATCGCAACAACCGTGTGCAACGCAACGCCTGTGTACACCGCTGTGCTTGCGTACACTACAACGCCAGTGTACATGTGCACACCGCAGCAAACATGTGATCGAGCGCCAGTGTACACTACAGTGCGTGCGTGCACCGCGGCGCCTGTGCAGCCACAGCGCCTGTCTACACCATAGCAGTCGCGTGCAACGCAGCGCTATTATACACCACAGTGCGTGCGTGCATGAGACAGGTAAAAGGAGCCTGTACGTGAGGATCTGCTGCGGAAGCGTCACGCCAGGAAAGTGCTGATAATCGAATGTGACGTTTTTCCCTTTCCCTTCCCCCCCATTTCCACCTCCTCCTCCTCCTCCTCCTCCTCCTCCTCCTCCTCCTCCTTACCCCATGTCGTGCGGATTGGCGCTGCAGCGCACGTGCGCATCGCAGCGTGCACCGCAGAATGGTCTATTGAATCGGCCCATTTGGTTCTCGGACGGCCAATTTAGCCGTAGCCTCCTGGACGCAGATGGGAGGAGTTACAGTGATGCGGGCGACTTCGCAAGGACTTGTAGATTCCCTTGGCGCTCCTGTGTCCATTACGATTATGCTTTATTGTTTTCAGCGGAATCCACAAGCGCTGCATTTTGTCATAGCGATTCGTTTTAACATTATACATGCAACAGTGGTGCTGTGTTGCACACGGTTGCTGTGGTGCACACAAACGCCGTGGTGTACACTGGTGCTGTGTTGCACACGGCTGATGTGGTGTACGCAGGCGCTGTGGTGTACACAAGATCTGTTGTGCCCGCGCGCACGGTGGCACAAACTGACGTTGTGTTGCACGCGGCGGCTGTGGTGTACGTAGGCGGTGTGGTGTACACAGGCGCTGTGGTGCACGCAGGCGCTGAAGTGTACACTCGCATTGTGGCGCAGATCGCCACCTACATGCTGGTGCCACCCGTCCTCCGTCATTTCTAGGCATTCCCAGGCGCCGCCGGCGCGAAACGTGACGTCATCGACCCCCCACCCCCAAATGATTGCCGTCATCGGCCCGGGATAAATAAACAGGCTCCAGCCGCGTCCGCGCGCACGACGACGATGAGCGACAAGCGTCGAGCCACGAGCCACCAGCGACGACGACGACGACGACGTCGACGACGACGACTGCGGACCAGACTCCTATGCGGATTCCTTCGCGGACACCCACGCAGATCCCAATGCGCACGGCGGCAGTGCCCGGAGCGCACTGGGGGGGGAGCGTTACGTCATAGGGGGGGGGGGGGCGCGGGGGCCATGACGCCCGTCATGCCCCAAGCAATAAAGAAACGGGCTCTTGTACCGTCGCACACACGCCGTCCAGAGACATCCGCGCCACCGATCCTCGGAGCCCCGACACCTCACATTCCGAAGCGACACCTCAAATGCCGGAGGCCCGCGGCCCCCGGCGCGGCGTGCGAGGCGGGCGATTCTCGGGCCGTGCCGATCTAGGAGCCGGCCCCCGACGCGATCCCAGGCCAGCCCACGCGTGCCCATCCCGACCCTGTGCCCACAGCCGGAGCAAGCGACGCGACGCCCGCTGTGGGCATCGTCGTCGACGGCGTCGGCGTCCGCAGCTGCGGCGCAGCCGCGGGCCCAACGGCACCCCAGAGAGCACCGGCACCGCGCAGACGCTGCGCCCTCCCTGCGGTGGCCGCCCGGGCGAGCAGCGGCTGGCACGGCACCGAGCGCATCCTGCGGCTCCTCCTGCGCAGCGCCCTTCGCCTACGATGGCCGCGCGCGGAGGCCGCATCCCTGCCAGGACGCCGCACGACTCCGCACATGAAGAGCCACCGCCACAGCCTCCTGAATACGGTTGGCGTCGGACGGATAGCGTGCAACATCGATATCCGATAAGCACGCTATCCCTGTGAGGCGATCCCCCCGCGAGGGCCCCTTCTGTGCGCGCCATCCCCGAGCCAGGGCTTCTTCGGTGCGCTATCCCCAAGGCTTGGGGTGGCGTGTGGTAAGCGAGCCAGCGGCGCCACATCGCACGCTGTCTCTCCAACGCAAACCGTATCCCCAGGCCGACGGCCCGCCCGTGCAAAGGACGGCGGGGGGGAAGGGGGGGGGGGGGGGGCGACGCCGACGCAGCGCCGCCGCCACCGCCCACCGCCCCCCCTCCCCGCGCCGTCCCCGCGGAGGCCGCCGACTCGCGGGCGCGCTTCGGCCTTCTCCTCCTCCTCCTCCTCCTCATCATCCTCCTCCTCCTCCTCCTCCTCCTCCTCCTCCTCCTCCTCCTCCTCCCCCTCCCCCCCTCCCCCCCCCCTCCTCCCCCCCTCCTAATCCTCCGCCTCCTCCTCCTCCGCCTCCGCCTCCGCCTCCTCCTCCTCCTCCTCCTCCTCCTCCTCCTCCTCCTCCTCCTCCTACTACTACTACTACTACTACTCCGCGGGCTGGCGCGCAGCCACTCGCCACGGGCGGAGGACGGGCGCGGCCGCGGGCCAAGCGCCGGCTCCCCCCCAGCCAGCACGCCTGCCCCGCATAGGGGGCACGCCGAGGCGGGGCGGGGGGCTGCGGACAGGCCCGAGCCCCCAAGAGGCAACGGACAGGAGACGGGAGAGGAGGAGAAGGAGGAGCAGGAGGAGAAGGAGGAGGAGGAGGAGCAGGAGGAGGAGGAGGAGGAGGAGGGCGGAGGAGGTGGAGGAGGAGGAGGAGGCGGAGGAGGCGGAGGAGAGGGAGTGAGGAGGAGGCGGAGGAGGTGGAGGGGGAGAAGGGAGGGGGGGAGGAGGGGAAAACGAGCGATGAGGAGAGGGAGGAGGTGCATGTTTGAGCTCAACAGCATACTCTCCACCAAGATGCATGACGACTGACGGCGGCGGGGGATGCCAGCCTGCCAGCAAGAATCACTTGAGGCGTGTTGCAACAGTGCATCAGGCTTCCTGTGCTGACCTCCACCCCCCCTCTTGCTGCGAGGAGGTAATAGTGAGCGAGATAGAGGCAGAGAGAAGTAGATGGCGAGGGGCGGGAGGGGCGAGGGAAAGGAGGAATGCAAAGGAGGGTAATGAGGGCGGACGAGGGGCCCGACCTGCGATACTATAACGGATGAAATCTGTGGCAAGCGAGCTTAGGGGCATCAGGGCAAGATGGCCGTGATCGAAGCGCGTACTCCTTCTCCTCCTCGTCCTCCTCCTCCTCCTGCTGCTCGCCACGACCTTGTGTTCCTCCTCCTTGTCTTTCTCCTCCTCCTCCTGCCCACCATCCCACTCCTTCCACTACTTCCCCTCCCCCTCCTCCTTGTCATCATCTTCCTCCCTGCCCCCTTCCTCCTCGTCCTCGACATCACCCTGCCCCTCCTTCTTTGTCTATATCATCCTCATACTCATAGCCCTACCACTATTCATCTTGATTGCTGCTGACCTCCGTCTTAGAACTAGTGAGTTAGCAATTGCGTTACGAAGCAACTCAAGGGTACTTCGTAATTGCGAGCATGTGCGCATCATTAGCAACGTCAGCGCGAGAAGAGCGAGGAGGAAAGGGAGCATGCTGAGAGAATAGGGTGGAGAAAGGGGAGAAGCATGAGGAGAAACAGGAGGGAGGAACAGGGCTGCTCCAACTGCCCCGCCTCGTCCTCCAACGGGCTCGTCCCCGCTGCTGCCGCCCCTCCTCCTTGTACCAACATGTGCGATGATACGCGGAAGGCGAAAGCATCGTGCCGACCGACGCCGCCCCCCCCCCTCCGTTGCCGGTCGGTCCTGGGGGGGGGGGGGGGCTGAAACAACTGCCAGGCTGCTCCTGTGGCGCCGCTCCGGGAGTCACTGGCAGGTGCAGTCGGGGCGTTGACCTAAGAAACTCTAAATACGGAACGAGGCCCCATTTTTACACAAGTTAAACTTCGATTTCCCATCGAAAGCATAAGGAACACCTGAGGCAAACTGTGAAACAATTAAGGAACACGGAGCCCCTCCTCAACGAAAAGGGTTCCTTATTCAGAGCCCCGACTGTGTCTGTCAGAGGTAGCAAGAGCAACCGACAACAGACGAAGGGGAGGAGGGGAGGAGAAGCGGAGGAGGCCTCATACCTTACGGAGGAGGGGAGGAGGGGAGGAGGGGAGGAAGGGAGGAGGGGAGGAGGGGGCCTCAGAATTACCTTACGGAAAGGAGGGGCGAGGTGGTGGGGCTGACGCTATGTGTGTGCAGCAGGCGGCGCGTGGCGCATGCAGCGCCCCGTCCATCCCTGTGATTCCTACCTGCATCCCCATCCTCCTCGTGTCCTCTCTCCTCTTCGTCCTCCTACTTCGTGTCCTCTTACTTCGTTTCCTCCTACTTCGTGTCCTCCTACTTCGTGTCCTCCTACTTCGTGCCCTCCTACTTCGTGTCCTCCTAATTCCTGCACTCCCTCGTCCCTCTCCTACTTCGTGTCCCCTCTCCTCTTCGTCCTCTCTCCCTCCCCCCTGCAAGGGAACAACGAGGCAACGACGCCGCTGCTCCCCAGACCTCTCCCGGGGGGTGCTCCCGGCCGTGGCGACGTCGGCTCTCCGGGACGGGCTCCTCTTCCTCCTCCTCCTCCTCCTCCTCCTCCTCCTCCTCCTCCTCCTCCTCCTCCCCCTCCCCCCGGGGCAGGAGCGCTGAGCCCCGCTCCGAGCGCTTGGCGTAGCCGCTCCGGAGCACGTCGTTGAACGTCTCGCCCCTCGGGCCAGCTTCGGGGCGATCGGCGCGACGCGCCAGGGGGCCCGAGCCCAGAGGAGGTGGAGGAGGAGGCCCGCCCTCTCCTCCACTTCTTCTCCTTCTTCTTCTTCTTCTTCTTCTTCTTCTTCCCTTCCTCCTTTTTCCTCCTTCTCCTCCTCCTCCTCCTTCTCCTCCTCCTATTCCTCCTCCTCCTCCTCCTCCTCCTCCTC